GGCCCCCGTCTCCCCCACTGCGTTAGGGCCCCCACCTCCTCTCCTCAGTCAGGGCCCCCAACTCCTCTCCTCAGTCAGGGCTCCCAACTCCTCTCCTCAGTCAGGGCCCCCACGTCCTCTCCTCGGTCAGGGCCCCCACCTCCTCTCCTCAGTCAGGGCCCCCACCTCCTCTCCTCAGTCAGGGCCCCCACCTCCTCTCCTCAGTCAGGGCCCCCAATGTTTCTTCTCACATCTCCTCACCCTCTGTGCAATCGGGCTCAGCCTGCTCCTCTCTTTGCTTCTGCTTGAACCTCATGTTTCCATAGTGCATGACGGCGCCGGTCAGCTTGTAGATGCAAACCTTCTCGTCTTGGGTGAAGCCCAGGATGTCGATGGCGCTCTGTGGATCAGAACAAGAGAGTTACATGCTAGACACACGCAAGAGGACAACCAACTCCACCCAAACCCAACAATACAACAGGTAAGGAACATGTGTCGCTCTATGGCTGTGAATTGCATTAGGAGGGTGACCCCGTGTTCACAGACACTTTGTCCTCACCCCATCTCTTGCCCGGTCTTTGGATCATCACCTCAATGACACCACCTAAATATCTCACTCCTATTCACTTCCAGGGTAGCCACACCCACTGCCAGCCTGATTTCGTAAGGCATGTGACAGCTCATTCCTCATGGAATTCACAGAAAATAAAGTGTTCTCCTGAGTTATGAAGAAACATAGAAATGATCTAACGGCTATTTTATATCGGTCACAATAAACCTGCATCTGAAAGACTGATACAGTGCAATACAAGTGTGACGGGTGAATTGCTGTTTCTAGGAGACGGTCAGTATGTACTAAGCTGAGATTAGGTTTGTGCCGAAAGCTGACCAGCCAGCACATTATTGTCGGGGGTGCCTGTGCTGGAGATTACAACTCACTCCCTCCGATGAGCGTCGTCAGCCTCTACGCCAGACATTCAGATGAAATAAAATGAACTGAATTGCGATGAAGGGGAACTATGATCACCATGAAGTATTATTAATGGTCTTTCATGGTGACCTTGGTGTAAATAACCAGGGGGCAACTCTCGTACGTCAAAGATCTTCCTGGACTTACATCAGTGGCCATCAACTCATCGGCATCGTCAATGCTGGCCACGGTGATCTCCCCCATGCTGACGAACGGAAAGTCATAAGGGTTGGTGGTGATCAGCAGCATTTCTGGAGGACAAGAAATACAGATATCATTGTTGTCGTTTGCTACAAATAAACTGAGACGGGGGAACCATAGAGAGTAGAAACACCCCAAAATCATAATGTCCCACCATGGAGATCTGAGAAGAACAATCTGGAGTCAGTGTGATGACCGGAGTCCCGGACTGGAGAGCTTTATATATGGAAGAGATTTACTGATCACACCGAGTTCAGAACAATTTATAATGACAACTTTGTAGAAATATTGTCAAGATGATCTTCAAATGTCATCACACGGACGGCTCCTCCACCAACACATGGATCTATATTCTAACAGGCCCATGTGATCACCGTCCAGCGAGGACATGTGACCAATGGCTCTGTTGATGGAGAATGGTGGATTTGTGACAAGGCTTGGCTTATAAACAAAGTCATGTGATCACCGCCCAGTGAAGACATGTGACCAATGGCTCTGTTGATGGAGAACACTGTATTCAAGGCATGGCTTGCAGGATAAACAAAGTCATGTGATCACCGTCCAGTGAGGACATGTGACCAATGGCTCTGTTGATGGAGAACACCGTATTCAAGGCATGGTGTGTAGGATAAACAAAGTCATGTGATCACCGTCCAGTGAGGACATGTGACCAATGGATCTGTTGATGGAGAACACCGTATTCAAGACATGGCTTGCAGGATAAACAAAGTCATGTGATCACCGTCCAGCGAGGACATGTGACCAATGGTTCTTTTGATGGAGAATGGTGGATTTGTGACAAGGCTTGGATTATAAACAAAGTCATGTGATCACCGTCCAGCGAGGACATGTGACCAATGGTTCTTTTGATGGAGAATGGTGGATTTGTGACAAGGCTTGGCTTATAAACAAAGTCATGTGATCACCGTCCAGTGAAGACATGTGACCAATGGATCTGTTGATGGAGAACACCGTATTCAAGGCATGGTGTCCAGGATAACAAAGTCATGTGATCACCGTCCAGTGAGGACATGTGACCAATGGCTCTGTTGATGGAGAACACCGTACTCAAGGCATGGTGTGCAGGATAAACAAAGTCATGTGACGGCTTTTTTTTAAAAACAAAGTTCTGTCACTGGCAATGTAGAGGAACTACAAAACGTACTTTACTTATCACAGTACAAACTGGAAAAATATTGATACATAAAGAGTACATGAAATCCAAATATGACTTTTTGTCCATCGGTATGAAGGATGAGGAGTTGGGGTTCCTCAATATCTAACATCGTACACCCAGCTAATGAGGGAACATTTGTTGACAAGACAACAGACCCCAGGACGGGTGAGAGAAGCTTATGTGACCCTCAGGGGACATTTAAAGGCCACCAAGAACTGTTTGCCGGGTTGCGGGTTCAGACGAGTGACCCGGAACCATCTGGTTGTCTCCCTGATATCATTCTCCAACCCTAAACACCTTGAAATTGCGACGGCGGCCACCATATTGCTGCTCCTTACCGATCAGCTCCGGCTTCTTGTTGGAACAAATCTGGTAGAAGATGTGGTAGCTCCTCTCCGCCTTCAGTTGGAAGGTGACTCTGGATTTCTCCAGCAGGTCTGAAGAAAACAAACATTTCACCGACATCCATCAAGTCCGAGTTTTGGGGAGATAAAAGATACATTTTAAGGCTGAACTCTCATTTTTAGTTTGGATGCAGAAGGGACGAGTTCCTGTTTCTATCTGTCTGCGAGCCCATTGGGGAGAATGTTTCCTCACTTCCTGTGCCGGTGACCCCTGTATAAGAATCGGTGAGCAATGGTCACTGGGACAGGAAGTCACTAACCCATCTTCATTGTGCTTCCACTGTGCTTTAGTTCCTATTGGAGAGGTCTGTGGAGGGTCCTCGGAATGCGTCCCTTCCAGTAATGGGAAGATTGTGGCGCTCGGTGTAACGTGTGAATAGAAAGCCTCCAGTTGGTTGAAGAACAACGGTCACTATATTAGTGTATGGTATAAAACATGGCCAACGCGTTTCAGGGGGATTACGGTCTCAGCAGACACTCCAGAACACCATTGTATCCAGACGAAAACTGCAAAACGCACCAAACTGACCACCGACAGACCCAACACTACCAGGGCCCTGAAGAGGGAGGAGCCGCAATCCCCCCAAACGCCTCGGCCACGTCATACAACTGACCATTGTTCTTCAATGGACTGGAGTTCCCTGGACTCTAATAATAATGGATAATAGGTCCCGTCATTGGTCCCCGGGGGTTGTCACCATGGCCGCCTTACATGTCTCGATGTCGGCGGAGGCCAGCTTTCCATTGGTGGCGAAGTGGATCCTGATGAATTTCCCCTACAAGATAAAGAAACGTCAATTCAGATCCGGCTGAGACTTCAAATAGATACAAAGTGACAGAAGCGGAAGAGTTGGTGCTGAGGGGCCCCCAGACCCTCCCGGGATCCTCCACCTGCCCCATGAGGTGGCCCCCAGACCCTCCCGGGATCCTCCACCTGCCCCATGTGGTGGCCCCCAGACCCTCCCGGGATCCTCCACCTGCCCCATGTGGTGGCCCCCAGACCCTCCCGGGATCCTCCACCTGCCCCATGTGGTGGCCCCCAGACCCTCCCGGGATCCTCCACCTGCCCCATGTGGTGGCCCCCAGACCCTCCCGGGATCCTCCACCTGCCCCATGTGGTGGCCCCCAGACCCTCCCGGGATCCTCCACCTGCCCCATGTGGTGGCCCCCAGACCCTCCCGGGATCCTCCACCTGCCCCATGTGGTGGCCCCCAGACCCTCCCGGGATCCTCCACCTGCCCCATGAGGTGCCCCCCCCCTGCTGGTGGCAGGGTGTGTGGTGCTCTCAGCAGGGTAGGGGGGTCAGTCCCCATACGGCCTCTCTAGTCCGGGGGGAGGGGGGGGGTTCAGCCTTCTTGGAACTCACAAAGCGGGAAGAGTTGTCGTTCCTGACGGTCTTGGCGTTCCCGAAGGCCTCCAGCAGCGGGTTGGCCTGAATGATCTGATCCTCCAGAGTCCCCTGCAGGAGAATATCGGGTGAGAGAGATTCACAGAAATACGGAGCTTCCTGCCGACCGATATCTGACGTATCGAGGAGCGCGGTCCGTACATTATACCGCACTGTGTGATCGGCCGGTACATCATACCGCACTGTGTGATCGGCCGGGACATCATACCGTACTGTGTGATCGGCCGGGACATCATACCGTACTGTGTGATCGGCCGGGACATCATACCGTACTGTGTGATCGGCCGGGACATCATACCGTACTGTGTGATCGGCCGGGACATCATACCGTACTGTGTGATCGGCCGGGACATCATACCGTACTGTGTGATCGGCCGGGACATCATACCGTACTGTGTGATCGGCCGGGACATCATACCGTACTGTGTGATCGGCCGGGACATCATACCGTACTGTGTGATCGGCCGGGACATCATACCGTACTGTGTGATCGGCCGGGACATCATACCGTACTGTGTGATCGGCCGGGACATCATACCGTACTGTGTGATCGGCCGGGACATCATACCGTACTGTGTGATCGGCCGGGACATCATACCGTACTGTGTGATCGGCCGGGACATCATACCGTACTGTGTGATCGGCCGGGACATCATACCGTACTGTGTGATCGGCCGGGACATCATACCGTACTGTGTGATCGGCCGGGACATCATACCGTACTGTGTGATCGGCCGGGACATCATACCGTACTGTGTGATCGGCCGGGACATCATACCGTACTGTGTGATCGGCCGGGACATCATACCGTACTGTGTGATCGGCCGGGACATCATACCGTACTGTGTGATCGGCCGGGACATCATACCGTACTGTGTGATCGGCCGGGACATCATACCGTACTGTGTGATCGGCCGGGACATCATACCGTACTGTGTGATCGGCCGGGACATCATACCGTACTGTGTGATCGGCCGGGACATCATACCGTACTGTGTGATCGGCCGGGACATCATACCGTACTGTGTGATCGGCCGGGACATCATACCGTACTGTGTGATCGGCCGGGACATCATACCGTACTGTGTGATCGGCCGGGACATCATACCGTACTGTGTGATCGGCCGGGACATCATACCGTACTGTGTGATCGGCCGGGACATCATACCGTACTGTGTGATCGGCCGGGACATCATACCGTACTGTGTGATCGGCCGGGACATCATACCGTACTGTGTGATCGGCCGGGACATCATACCGTACTGTGTGATCGGCCGGGACATCATACCGTACTGTGTGATCGGCCGGGACATCATACCGTACTGTGTGATCGGCCGGGACATCATACCGTACTGTGTGATCGGCCGGGACATCATACCGTACTGTGTGATCGGCCGGGACATCATACCGTACTGTGTGATCGGCCGGGACATCATACCGTACTGTGTGATCGGCCGGGACATCATACCGTACTGTGTGATCGGCCGGGACATCATACCGTACTGTGTGATCGGCCGGGACATCATACCGTACTGTGTGATCGGCCGGTACATCATACCGTACTGTGTGATCGGCCGGTACATCATACCTTGCTCTTTGATGTTGCCTCTTCCTTCTTTTTGTCACCAGCAGCGGCAATTGTTGCGAAATACTGGATGACACGTTTGGTGTTCACAGTCTTCCCGGCACCGGATTCTCCGCTGGCAGAGGAAGAATAATATGTTGTCACCGGGCCGGTCAGTAGACAGAACTCAATGTACATCCTTCAGAGGTTCTGACATACAGGTGACAGGTCCTCTTGAAAGCCCATTTCACCACCCACCAGTACTGTGCTCCCCTGCCACTACCAGGGGCTTCCAGGGGGGAGGAGCATGTGACCTTCTACCCTCCCTGTGCTCAGTCCTCAGCAGCCAATCAGCGGGCCTGAACACCGTCACATGGGGCGGGGAGGAGGGGACAGGGATTGGACCCGGTTTAGTAAGAAGTGATGGAGGAGGAAGCGGTACATACGTGATGAGGATGGACTGGTTCTCGCGGTCTGCAGAGACAGAAAAACAGAGAATACAATGTGTCAGCTTTATATTCCTCCAATCAAAGCCCCGCCCACGAGGATCACACATGGAACTGGGAGGCTGAGTCTGAGATTTATAAACAGACATTCACCAAACATTCACTGCAGGTGCATCTTCCCTGCCCGTGTCATTTAAATGAGGTAGTTGATTCACTAGCGGTGAATGTTTGGTGATCAATGTGCCCGCCCCCCCCATGTGAGTACTTATTATTTATACTTTGTGTGTCCTGTACGTCGTGTTGTCACTCACCAGTCAGCATGGCCTGATAGCCGTTGTCAGAGATGGAGAAGATGTGGGGCGGAGCCTCCTGACGCTTCTTCCCTCTGTATCCAGCGACCACCTCGGGGTTGTACACGGGGAGCCACTTGTAGGGGTTGACGGTGACACAGAAGAGTCCGGAGTAGGTCTGGAAAGGTGACACAACCCATTGAGAGGGGAGACAGTGACACGGCGGCTCACAAAGCTCGCGCACCCAGAAAAGTGAGACCAATGAGATTTCACAGTGATGGTCACATGACTAAATGAGAGTGCCTTATCCTTGTGAATTTATTGTGTCCTCCCCTCCCCCCAAATCCCCCCCTCTCTCTTAGTTTCTGTATTTATATTGTCTCCCCTTGCGGTCTCGGCATGTTTTCTGCGCCCTCCTGTGTTTGGATTTCCCTTTTTGTCTTTTAGCTCCAATTCTCTCTTCAGTTCCGGAAATCTCTGCTAAATATTCTCCGTTTATCGGGTTTAGTTATATTGTGCAAACAGACTGAAATCTGTGTGTTCATGACCAACGCATTTCTACGCATTCACCCAATCAGAGATCGGCTTTCACTGAGCTCCTCTAATATCCTAAAGACAGATTACAATGCTGAAGACATCGCCAGACAACCAGCAGTGGAAAATCTCTGACCCCAGACAACCAGCAGTGGAAAATCTCTGACCCCAGACAACCAGCAGTGGAAAATCTCTGACCCCAGACAACCAGCAGTGGAAAATCTCTGACCCCAGACAACCAGTAGTGGAAAATCTCTGACCCCAGACAACCAGCATTGGGAAATCTCTGATCCCGGACAACCAGTAGTGGAAAATCTCTGACCCCAGACTACCAGTAGTGGAAAATCTCTGACCCCAGACTACCAGCAGTGGAAAATCTCTGATCCCGGACAACCAGCAGTGGAAAATCTCTGACCCCATACAACCAGCAGTGGAAAATCTATGACCCCAGACAACCAGTAGTGGAAAATCTCTGACCCCAGACAACCAGCATTGGGAAATCTCTGATGCCGGACAACCAGTAGTGGAAAATCTCTGACCCCAGACTACCAGCAGTGGAAAATCTCTGACCCCAGACTACCAGCATTGGGAAATCTCTGACCCCAGACAACCATCATTGGGAAATCTCTGACCCCAGACTACCAGCAGTGGAAAATCTCTGACCCCAGACAACCAGCAGTGGAAAATCTCTCTCACACGGAGATGAGTGCTATAAATGCTACAGACAACCATTCAAGATGGCGGCTCCCTGAGTGGACTGTGGAGTAAATTTCATTTGAGTATTGCTCAGTGGAAACCCGATGCGCGAACTGCTGCGTGGCTTTGTGCTCTTTTCTGGGTGACAGATTGACTTGAATGGACTTTCAACGTTGATTAAAGGATAACCCCACAGCCTGCAGTCCCTCCTCCCACAATGCATTGCTCCTTACGTAGATCATCCAGGCTGCGTAACGCTCTTTGAGGTTATACAGGACAGCGGGCTCGTTCAGGTGGGTCATCATGGCCATGTCTTCAATCTTGTCGTACTTCGGGGGGTTCATGGGGAAAATCTGGTCGTCCTTCACTGTCAGGGTCTGAAGGGAAATACGGGAATTAAAGGGGCCACGCCATAAATATCCAACAAGCAGCTGATTGGCTGTGGTGGAAGTCCCCGCCCCCTCGGGGCACTCACCTGCCCGCCCTCAGTCTTCACAGTCGCCTTCCCGCCCTCCTTGCCGCCCAGCACGCCCTTCACATAGGCCTCCTTGACGTCCACCACGAAGACCGAGGTCTTGGCATCGAACGGTTTGTTCTGCGACTCAATGCGCTCCTTCTCCGTCTTCCTGAGGTACGGCGCAGCCACCCCGTAAACCGCCATCTCCGCGTCCGAACTCATGGCTTCAGATTATGTGGGGGGGAGGGGCTTGTGCAGAACCGGATTTCTCTATCTAAAGAAAGAAAAGAGAAGTCAGCGCGGCGACATTTCCGATCACATGGGCATCTCTGTCCAATTTGATTGCTCTGTAATGTAAACAATTGTCGGGTTTTAAATAAAATCCTATTTTCGCCTTTTTTTCCCTCCTTTGTTACATGTTAGAGCTGCTGATCTCCTGCAGCCACTTTGCAGCCACTTCCTGTCTATATGATCCCCCAGTGATGGCTGCATGGAATTTCTCAGGGCGGGTTTCCTGATGGTGACAACAGTGGACTGTGTCTGTGTAATGTGTGATGAAATGGCCGCTTGTAGTCTCCATCAGAAGTTTGTGTGAAAGGGTGAGAACGCAGGAGCAGAATTGGGAGTCAGGGACAGGTCAGGTTGTCACCCTATAACAGGAAGTGCCTGGACAAGGACAGAGCGTTGTCACCCTATAACAGGAAGTGCCTGGACAAGGACAGCGCCCAGCATCATCTAGCATCCTGACTGACCTTGGCCCGCCCCTTTCATTCATTGGGTTCATTCAATCCTGGAGGCTCAGCATCACATGTCGGCGTTACCTAGGGCGGCCTGTATACCTATGATCACCTCTATGCTCACCTCTATGCTCACCTCTATGCTCACCTATGCTCACCTCTATGCTCACCTATGCTCACCTCTATGCTCACCTCTATGTTCACCTCTATGCTCACCTCTATGCTCACCTATGCTCACCTCTATGATCACCTCTATGATCACCTCTATGCTCACCTCTATGCTCACCTATGATCACCTCTATGCTCACCTATGCTCACCTCTATGATCACCTCTATGCTCACCTCTATGCTCACCTCTATGCTCACCTCTATGCTCACCTCTATG